AAAAAAATATTTTCCTCAGAATTATTCACAACATATATAAATCGACTCAGTTTTTAACGCTGATTCCGAATCTGATATTAGTTTTGAACCAAACCGTAGCTTTCTAACAAAACATCGCCTGAAAAAGGTCTCAAAATGTACAAAAACTGCATGCAGAAAGCAAATAGCCTAGATATGTCTCAGTCGATAAAAAACAAAGTGAATTTACCTCTTCACTTTTTGAAGTACACATAACACTCGGATTTAAATCCGAGGTTTTCGAATTTTTTTTCGTTTGATACTGAACTCAATTTGTAACGTCGAAAATTTCACTAATGTAATATCTTTTGTTGTAGAGAAAAAAACGGTTACACAATCAAAAAATAGTTACCGAAATGTTGTTTTTTTTTTTACCAAATTCTGACTTGCGTTTTACTGACAAGGAAACATTTTCAAGTGATCAATCGTTTTCTCATCGAAATCTAGTAGATTATGGGCTATTGAATATACTGATATTAAATACGACTATGAGAAATTCTCTTAGACTTTCATATGTTAGTCTTCGAGACTAACAAAATTTTCGTCAAAACTTTATTTTGATCTGTCTAAGAAACAGTAACATTTTCTGTTTGGAAATTATTTTTTTGTAGGAAATACAATTATTTTAATTGATACAATAGATATACTTATCAACATCTCAATATGAAAAATCTTCAAGATGATATTATTTTACACAAACACTCATTTTAGGATTATAGAGAAAGTTATTTTCTATTATGCAACGTAATATGCTCTATAGTCTGACGAGGAAAGATTCCCCAGATGAAATAAAAGCTTTTAAGCTCACATTGTATCTAGCCGTAGGGGATCAATAAATTAGAACAATTCCCAAAGGGTTAATACTAACGTTAAGATTTGGCTGAGATATTGACATTTTAGTTGATTTTTCCTGTATAGAACCAATTCTTCGATAAAATCTTATTGTCAAATTTTCGCCTGGTAATGTTACTCAAATGAAGGTCCCAGCGACACAAACTTATGCACAATATTTAAGACCGGTTCTCCATTGACACCGTGCAAAACATGCATATTTTGCAAGTTGCATATCTCAGAGACATTGGATCAAAAACTTCTAAAAAGATCTTCATTTGAATAATATTTTCAGGTCAAAATTCGATCCATAAAGAGAATACTTACTAAATACTCAATATATCGGTAAAATTTTAACGTTAATATAAAACATTTAGAGTCTGTAATAATCTAATGGTTCTCTACCACTGACTAAAATAGAGGTCCGAAAATTGTAATAATCTCTGAGTCTTCTCTCATGATATGCAGAATAACATACTGTTTCATGTTGTATGAAATTTAGAAAACTTCTAAAAAGTTGAAGATTATTTTCATCTTATTATGCTAGGTACTTTCTATAATTGTTACCTGTTCAGTAAAGAAGAGTGTAACTCGTTCAAAAAATTGATTTCCATCAAGAGATGTTAATGCCAAATAGAGAAATAAACCATCCAATACTGGCATTGGTATTCCCTTTAATACATGACGCATTAATAATGACATACCGATAAATATATGAGATATCAATACTGTTAACCGCGTTTCACGCACTTTAACAATACTAAAAAAAGAAATTTACAAGTTCATATCAGTTAAAGATTTGTCATGTTCTAAAACGAAATTATTTCTTACACTGATTGAATATGACCTTGTTCAACACGTTCTTCTGTATCTGCAAGTGCTTTGACATGTAAAGGGGAAAGTGGTAAAGCTCCTAAAATTGAAATTCATAGATAACAATTAAATAATTAATCAAATAAATAAAATCTAAATAACCATGCATCCATGTTAATCCAAATAATGAAAGCAAACCATTAAGAATTGCTATAACAAATAGATCTACATGAAAAGCTTTGCCTTTCTTCAATCTATATAAAGATTTTATTAATAATATTCTGTTATAAATTTTTTAATTTATACAAACTTATTCGCCGGAGAATTTACAATTGCACCTGCGATATTTTGATCCTAGAATAAATTCATGTCATATATCTCATTTATATATATATATATATATATAATACAAATAAACATACAAGAAACATTAATAAAGACAATGAAAATCCTAGAAATCCAGTGCCAATTATTTGTTTAATATTAACAGATTTAAATTTAACCATAACAAAGAGATGTCCAGAATCCACAGTAAATGATGGAACTAATATATAAATCGAAAATATTTTAAATAAAAAAAAAAATCTTTGTTTATCGTACGATTTATTTGACTAAAAAGTATACTACCAATCAAGGACATGATTATAACCGATACTGGTAAAGCATAATCTGTTAATAATTCACGTTTAGCTGACGTTAGATATGGTGTTTGTTTAAATTTATATAAAAATGTGCCAAGCCATACAGTCCCAAGTGCTAATAAAAGATAAAGTAGACCAGAATCTCGTGAACATCGTTCTATGTAAAAGAAAACAAAGACATCGTTCAAATAATCATTTTTTGATTAATTTTACCTTGTAAAAATCCTTCTGCTGAATTTATTACTGCACTTTTATTAACTTCATATTTTTCCCAAAATTTATCATGTTGTTCACATGCAAAAGTTGAATATGTAAGTCCAAAATCTAAAAAAAAAAGAAGAAAAATCTGAACATTAAATTTGATTATATAATGAACTTACTTTTATAAACATGCCGACTAGCATCAACCAAAAATGCAATAGAAACAAATAAAGCAAAGATTTCTTCTGTTGATCTTCAAAAAAAAAAAGAAGGTATATCAAAAAAAGTTTTTAATATTAAAATTACCTTGTTGACCATTTCATAATTTTTGATACACCAAAAATTGAATATAATATAAGAAAAAATGAATTCCATAAACCGACTAAAGCATATGTCTCACGAAAATCAAGTCCGTACCAATCACATAATGTATAGATAACTATTTTGTTTTTATACAAAGAATATAAATTTTTATATAAAAATTTTTATTTACCTTTTACATAGAGTGTTAAAGGTGCTGTTGTCATAACAACAATTAATGGTTGACCAGCAAATATTGAAAAGAAAATTCCACCAAGACATTGTGATGCTACAGCTTTTGGAACGCCTATAACAAAAATGACAAGTAGAACAAAGATTTTCATCTTAGATACAGTATTCTATGGGATATATGGACTATCATGACTCTCTCGTTTCTTTGAAATACTATGTTCGATTGAGCAGAAAATTTTCATACAGATATTAGATACTGTTTTGAAGTGGATATTGTTTTACTTTTTGTCCTTTAAACGAAAGAAGCTAATATATCGAAGGTACTTCAAAACAACAATGTTTAGTAGTTTTTTTTTTAAAGTCTCAGCTCGATTGGACTTACTCGACCGAATAAACAGGAAGATATCTCCACTTTTTTTATACAAAAAGTTGGTTTGAAAAAAAATCGCGAAATAACGTACAGTTTTTGCTAATTTGATTTTTTCTCAAATTTCTTAACGCTTAAAAATTATTTTTGGACGCTCGATAGATACTACTTCAGAGTATAGAATAGCCACACAAAAAATAGTTTTAGATTACGACAACGGTATTGTTATGGGTCAAAAAAAGTGAGCTCCGAATGTAAACTCCAAATTTGGAGCTCACTTACGCATCCACATTTTACCAATAAAAACCAGTCCATGCTTTATGGTTTATAGCAGTAAGACCCCATTTCACTGAGATACTAGGTTGAGTTATATCTGATGTTCAATAGATGCATTACCTGTGATGCTCGTAGGATTACCTGTGATGCTAGTAGCATTACTCGGGATACTAGTAGCTCCTCACTTGATGACTTTAGCTTCCCAGTTGATGCCTCTAGCATTCCAGGTGCCGCTACTAGCATCCAAGGCGGTTACTTAAGTAAACTCCTAATTTGGAGTTTACGCAGTTTGGAGCTCACTTTTTTTGACCATTGTCATGTTATACAGTATACTACATAGTTAGAGATGTGCGGGTCCATGTTTTTTTTTTTCGGTCTCGATTTTGATTCTGATCTAGAAAAAATTTTTCTAGAATTTATACGCATCATATCGAAAACAATTCTTCAATACTTGTTGCATTTATTTATTTAATCGCCGACAAGCACACTATGGATCATTTCTCTTGAATTATGTTCTGATTGATATGATGTATGAGATAATTCACTTAAAACTAAGAAATATTTAACTGTAATATTCAGCTTCGGTTGAAGCAACTTTTTTTTTCGTAGTTCTGATTCCGGTGTCGACAACTGTTTTTTACCGTGGTTCTAGACTTGCACATTTCTATACATGATATCTGCTTCTGTAAGAAGATGTGCAAATTAGATAATATGTTTCACGTTTTGATTAGTGATTAGGAGATGTTTCGAGTCGACTACTGAGAAAGTACGGTTTATGACACTTGAAGAATGAACTCTTCTTGTGGGAACATAAGAGCAAAAGGAAAGTGTTTCATTTTCGCTAGGAATAAACGAAAACTTTTCAAGTTTGGAAAATCACTCCTGTTAGTGTTTCATTTTAATTTTAACAATAATATGAAATCATTTTTCATGTGAAAACTATCTTATCAAGGTAATTCTCGATGACTCTATCATCATTTTGTCATCGTAATTACATTGTACTTTTTTCTATGCGGTGTAATCATCTTTCAATCATTTCTTTATTCTATATATAGCATGATCCTACAAGTTCATATATCAATACATATAAATATCCATATATTTTTCTGTTTTTTTGTTCTCTTGTCTATCTCTTTTGTTGAACCTGTACGTCTTGATTTTTTTTACGCAAACCATAATAACCAATGATAACAGTCTGTGAGAATAATCACATTATAAAGAGCACAACTAAGACGTTCTAATAGCTAGCCTCCGCTGACGCTCGTAAGTACACTACAAATCTTTGTCCTTTTTGCTTTTTGATCGTTTACTTATTAAAAAAAAGTATCTCTTTTTACTTACTAATTTGATTATTTGTTGCTTGAGAGTTAAGAACACCAAAGGCAATACTTGGTAAAAGACAAGCAAAATAGAGAAATACAGCAGTAGATAAAACTTTTTGTGGACCACGATGAGTTTGAAAAACTATAGATTAATAAAGAATAATTAAAATTGAAAAAGACTTTAGAAGAAAGAAAAAAAAGAACTTACTGTCATAATAATCGGATAAATAATGAGGTAAACGACGTGATAAATCCATACATATATCAGAAGGTATTGGAAAATAATATATCTTATCTTTTGATGCCTTGAAAAATTTTTTTCTTATAGTATGATATATATAAATATTATTTTTTTTTTAAAACTCTTACATCAGTATTATTATTAGCATCATCAAAAGGATCTGGTAGAGAACTTCGTGTTACTGCTGTTTGTTGTTCCATTAAATTATCTGTATGTTTCTATTGAGATGAGAAATAAAATATTTCATTATGAATGATAAAAACAAAAACTAATCTACATCAATAATTGATATAAATTCTTGTTGTGTTGCTGCTTTTAATAATTTTGCACGTAATTCAATATCAGCAAATATTGTTGCAAAAGTTCGACCAGTTTCAAGAAAATTTTTTGTACCTTTCTCTTTCATTGGTGATAAAATAAAAACAATAAAACGTGCTTCTTGACAATTACGTCCTAAATTACATGGATTTTTCAAACGTGCAATAGCAACATGTCGTTTAAGAATCGATGGTGATGTACACATTATAGCTAACCATGATTGATCATATGTCCAATTTGTTTCAGTTGCAGTAGTTGCTTGTAGAGTTTTGGCTAATATTCGAACTTAAGAAGAAAAACAAATAAAGCAAAGCATATAATGATTAAAATTTGAAATTTTCACGAATAGAGCAAAATTTGTCATCTCCGATGCTATATTTCATGAGATATTAGAATTATAGTGGCTTTCCCATTTTTCCAAGATGCTACATTTGATCAAGTTGAAAAGAGTGAATATCTTTTTTACTTTTTGTTCTTCAAACAAAAAAGCCAACATATTGAAAGTACTCCAAAAAAAAAACAATGTGCGTTTTTTTAAGCAAAAAGAAAAATGAATACCCATTCCAAACAGTGTATAGTATATACGAATAAAAAATTCAGCTCGATCGAACATAGTCGGCTGGAAAAAACGTGAGATATATTTGTACTTTTTTTTTCCATTAAAAAATTGATTCGAGAAAAGTACGAAACAATGTACATTTGATTTCTTTTCGAAATTTTTTAACATTTAAGGATGGATGTAGGTAGATAGATACTACTTTAGACAGTAGAATATCACATAAAAAAAGACGACAGACTACCATTAAAACATACCTCTATCATTAACAAATAAAGCTTGTTTAATTTCTTCAATATTTAAATTTTCCCGATGTCCACTAGCAATACTACTAACAGTATTACTTATCATTGTTGTTGTTGCACTTGATACTGAAAGTGATGGTGATGTTGTTGTACCACCATTATGTGGTATATTATTTTGTTTTATTCGTCGAAGTATTATTTCTAATAAATCTCCTATAGATGTATCTTGTACATCAAGAAGTACAAGTGCACTAAGAATAAATTCTTTTATATCTTTTCCACCACGAATTTCTGCTGCAAAATCTTTTAATGGAATATGCTAGAAAATATTAACAAAAAAATAAAATAAAAAAACTTAATTATTATTTTTTATTAAATAAATCTTTCCTTACTTCAGATTTATTATAAACAAGTTGAATTTGAGCACCATCTTCTATAAAAAAAATAAAAATAAAAATAAATCATTGACAATGCATCATTATCAATATTATTATCATTTTTTTGGAATTAAATTCCTATGAGATTTTGAAACATATTGCTTCCGAATAATATTATAAGCTTATAATTCTTTTCTGTTGATGATACGAAATCATTTTTCTCGTGAGACATTCAGCAAAAAAAAAAAAAAAAGAAGTCGTCTGCCATATTAAATTAGCATTTGTCTTTTTTTTTTGTTCATTGCACACAATTCATTGAAATACATTGAATTTTTTCTTACTTCTCAATGACAATAAATCATTACCATTATCAATAAAATGATTTAAGTTTAAACCATAATCTTCTATACTCATCATTATATATAATACAATGAATATACTCTTTTCATGCGTGTTTTTTTTTTTTTTTGTATAGACCAAAACAAAAAGAAAAATGTTTCTTTTTGTTTTTGACGTGATGAAAACTAGAGATCAACTTTCAGGATTTTTTTTGTTTCAAATATAAATAATCTTAAATGTTTCCTATTTATTCTTCCTACGTTATAACTGAACTTTGTTTTTTTTTTTGTCTGCTCGTGCGTGACAAGAATGTTACTCTTGGATCATCTCACTCGGAACTAATAAATCTGTTCAATGCTATAATGTCTCGGAAATGTGTTCGTGTCTATAACAGAAAACAAAAAAATAAATACATAGAGAAGATAATTCAAGAAGCGACATTTAATGTGCGTGTCTATTAAATTTAAGTAACATGAAATGATAATAATGATTTCATCTCATTATTTATATATCGCAGGTGATAGTTTTCAAAAAAAAATATATATATATATCCTACGAAACATGTACTTACCTCGAAGTAATTGCCATTCATGACTTTTATTATTAAATCTCCAAGTTGATGTTGGAGTAGATATTGAATCTCGAGTAGGCTTACGACGAAAACTAAATCTACGCAAACTACTACCAGCAGGATTACGTCGAAAATATGATTCAGTTCGATTCATTAAATAATTTGTTCGTTTTCTGTATTTAAAATTTTTCGCTTTTGTAAAAAAAAATTTGTTCTTATTCAACGTTTGTTAATAATGATTATAACATAATAGTAAATGAGCATGAAAAAAAAATAAGAGTTAGCTCTAGGGCTATTTTAATATAGTTGTGTGATAATCGTAAAAATGCTCAACTACTAATCAAAACTATTCAAGAAAAGAAGACAAAATTGAGATACAGAGTAAAGAAGATTGTTAGAAGAAGGAAAGAATCAGAACTGAAGGATAGAAATAAATCGTTGTTTACGAGAAAATACCAACGGCAACTGTCGTATTCTTCTCTTTGCATCTGTTTCCTTATCGAGAAAAGGAGAACTTTAGCATGAGAAGTAGCATCTGCAAGAGAGAACAAACTTAATTTATTATTAGCATACACATGCCACAATCAACAATGATAGTGAATATGTTGATTCAAAAACGCCTGACGTGAATATAATTAAAATACCTAGTAGTTGTCTCTTTGTTCAATGCATTAATGACTAAAGAATTACAATCTTTTTTTTTCTCAACTACCTATTATTATCATATTTTTTTTCTCTGAAAAACATAATAAATGTTTATCTATAATCATGAACAAATGAATAGAAATTTAAATTCTTCGAAGAATAGTTTTCTTGTTAAAACATAGATGATATATAAGCAACGTGAATTATTCATAATTCAATTAGAGAAACTAGAATATCTGTTTTTGAGAAAATACATTAATGTTCAATTTCATCTTTATTAAGTAGTATGCTATACAACAATGCATTATTTTTTTCTGTGTGTATGTATCTAGGATAAACTATTTAATCATTACATTTACTTGTTCAATAGATTTTTAGTACATGTAATATAATTATTCATTGAATTTTTTTTTTTTTGTTTGTTATTCATAATATCAAAGCATTTTATTTACGATTGATGTAATTACAATAGTAGTAAAGCTTACCTCGTGATGATGATGATGATATTGCTGTTGTTTCAAGAAAAGTTGTACCCGTATTAACCACTTCAACAGCTGGTAACGATTGACAATCGTACATCTTTTCTTTTGATATATGTTGTCTTAGAAGAAAATGAACGAGTAAATGTGATGTATATAAATTAACATTTGAACAAGAAAATCGGAACAAAGCGGGTGGCTAGAATATTATTGTGTGTGCAATGACTTGATAAAATCATTATTTTTTTTTTTTTCTGTATAAAAGAAACATTTATGAAAGTTTTCCTTTTTCTTTTTTCACTATTGCTCCGCATGTGAAGATCAATAGTTGTGTCTTGCTATTGAATTATCTCTAGTAAATGATAATTAATAAAACTGAATTTTTGTAGAAATATTGATTTAGTTTTTAATTTTATGAGAAAATAAAATAAAAACATAATTTCCGTTCATAATTATTGTATGTGATCGATTGAGATATATTTTAAATCTATTCTCTAATTTTCTTGAAGAATAAATTATAGAATGCAAAATTAATTCATGTTTTCTTTTTCAAAACTAAACAAGTCATTTTAACATTTTTCCAGACTACTGAATTATCATCAAAAAAAAACATGACAAACTCATCTGACGTTTATTAGTATTAGTAGTAAGCTTTTTTTTTTTCAATGATCTTATTGTATTCAAACTTCTTCTGATGATAGAAGATAAAACTTGAAGCATCCAATTTATTATTTCAACATAACATAGTGACTCTTATATCGACTTATTTTGAGTATCATCAAATTAATGTCAATTGATGAGAAAAAAAAACAAGGCATTTTGCTTTTCCTTTTTTTTATATGTTAGTACAACAAAACTCTTGTAACAATTTGAATATTTGGATTAATTATCATATTTTAAAAAAATAAAGAACATAAAATTGATGATTTTATGAACTATTATAACTAAAATCTAAACTGTAAAAAACAACACTTGGATTCATTTCAGATTACAATTACATATAAGTAATAAAACTCTCAATTAATATATAAGAACTATTACTTATAATTAATTTAAAATAAATAACCAATGAAAAATAAAATACCAATTAATAATTATAATCTGAAAATTGAATAGAATTTTAATGAAAATTTTTTGTAACAGATGTATTTTTTTTTAAATACAGTCAAATTTCTCTATGTGAACATGCTTCTCCTGTGTGATCACTCTATCCAATCGAACACCCTGTTGTTCTTCAAGCGAATTTTGATGATTTTCAATCGCTTCTACAAGAACACTGCTTGATTCTGCATGTAAACACATTTTTTCCGGTTCTGATTATATGTATTGACTTTGCCAATATGAATGTCAATAAAAATCGTCACTTGAATAACTCATATGATTGAAATTTCAGAAATAATTATTATGGCATTGATTGAGTTTAATAATTTCATACAATGACGAACGAAAACGAGAACAAACAAAACAAAAATGGATACAAAAGTATTATTATTTTAGCACATATTCAAAGTATACCATAAGAAGAAAAAAAATTGTGCTATTAACTATTATATTCGCTCTCGTTCTATTCTTTACATACATATCAATATTTTGTCAGATATATTTATGTTTTTTGCTATCAGATATTTTTCCAAGTGTTTTCTCTTGTCTTATGTTGTCATTCAGGTATATGTCAAATATATATTATCTTTTGTTGTTATATTCTATCTGCCATCTATTCTTAACGATAAATATTTCAGTTTTATTACAATAAACTACTTATATAGAATGACATGTCATAGATTTAACAATCATTTTCTTTTTCAATAGATGCTCAACATGTGTCTATTTGATATGACATCTCACCATGATCTTTATTTAGAGTAAAACAAAAATGTGTTTAATCAAAAGTAAAGAATATGATTTGTCACATCATTAAGATTTCGAGCTGATGATTCAAATAGATCTAATTAGAAGAAAGATAATCTATTAAATAAAATAGCAAAAAGGAAATATTAATTATATTGAATAATTTTTATTGATTAAGTTATTATTCTATTTCGCTAAATGTATTTTCATGAGTAAATCAAAATATAGATATAAAATTCTACATAAGATTAACTATTTCAATCAGGCAGAAAAATAATCTAAATTTAATCACATCAAAAAGTATTTACCGGAAAAAGAAACAAAAAAAATAGTTTCACAAAGTTGCCAAGAGAAAAAAAAAAGAAACTATATAATGAATTTTAATTAATCAAAAGACATGACAATTTGTTCATGACAAAAAAAAAAAAATATTCGAATTTAATTATTAAATAATCTAAAAAAGAGAAAAAATTTTCTCATCAACTATTCTCTAATAATAAAGCTTTCAGTAATAATTAATGTTTTAATCTATGTGTGTCAATGTCAAACATTTGAGCTTCAAATATTGAATGAAAAAATAGCAATTTTGTTATATGTCACTTTTAGAACATAGTACAAATAAAGTCGATTGAGAAACAGAATTAAATGACAACATGAGAATAATCATGTTATTCTATAATATTGATATTTAGTTTTTTATGAGTCGTGCAATATCTCTGTTAATTTTAATAGTTACAGAATTTAATTGTCTATAAAAGAGTAGATAAAAATGTGTGTGATAAAAGTAAAAGTACGACAAATATTGTACAAACATTTTGAGTAAAAATTTTCTGTTTTCTTCTACCAATTCGTTCTCACATTGAGATATAGAAAAGTAAAAACTAATCGCTTTGTAGGGTCTGAAAAGCTCTGTCGTTTAGGTAGGTTTACTGATTTTTTTAGAACAAATTTCTATCGCATAAAGTAAACTTTACTTTTTTTAGATTTTCACAACAAAAAAAGAAAACGTCTTTTGCATCATATTGTTTTTCGGTATTCTTGAAAAATTGATGTCATTTACAAGGAAATCTCTTCAAGTGTCAAATCAATTTTTTCACGGAGATTATGTTCAATTGATGAATAATAGAAAAATCTAGAATGGTTTGCTTTTTCAAGCCTTAATTCTCGAGATGAATTGTTCACCAAAGGCTGTAATTTCTCTTATATTATATGAGAAATCGACTTTCGACTTTGAACTCTGTAAAAATATATGAACAAAATTTATTTTTACACATGAAAGAGTTACGAATCTTGCATATATTAGGATAGAAAATGTAAGAAAAATTACAACTTACCAATGAAATAATCTCATTGAGAACTTTGTTTATTCTAAGTTTGAAGTTGAAAATCAAAAGCCAATTTTCCATATGACCTTAGGGGAATGAAAACTATTTGTTAGAAAAGCTATCTTGAGAATGAAGGGTCCGTAAACCAAATCATTCAAAGTTTTCTATTCCTAACTAATATTCATCAAATAAACATCATCTCAGTGGTAAATTCTTTTTTCCGAATGAAATTAGTTTTTACTTAAAAGCTGTTAAACCACACTATAGAAGTCTACTACTTAATTCTGAATAAATACAATTTCCTCTCGCCTATGTTCCAGCAAAAAAAAAAAGGAACAGGCCTGATATGACAGATTTGGAGTGGTTGTCAAAACATTAGATTTTATGTCAATATTTAAGGTCGATGTGTTCTTTTTTATCCACCGTCAAATAGAGTATACTTGATCGCACCTTAGGTCGTGATCTAAAGCGTTTACACAGTGCTTTCCTCATAGGAAGAAAGCGCAAATTAGTTTGTCTATTTATGTTTGACAGTTGTCAATGAGACATGTTTGCAGGATTTGTGTAATAACTCTTTTTTTGCTTTTACTTCTATCCTATACATTTATCGATGGTTTTACAGAGATTTGAACACTGAGTCTCATAAGATGAAACATTAATATTGACAGAGACATTGAGAGACTTATTTATTCTGACGCATTCTTTATTTTTAATAATTTACAAAACTTAACATTTTTGTAGTATCATATTCTTTTTTTTTTTCACGTGATAATGTTAATAAATCTATGAAAAACATTGTAAGTCATAACGAACAAGCATAGATCTTTTTGTTGCTTCTGTCTAAAAGATTTTTATTTGTTCTAGATTATTTCTCATCAATTCGAATAATTAATCTGATTTTAATGTAGACATTCAAATCCGTAGATAATAAAAAAAAGAGCTAAACTTTAGACTCAACAAAAGAAACAAACAATATATGAATCTTTTTTTAGACTCATTCACATTAATTTCATGAATTATGACATTGTTTATTTTGTAGATTAGTCGATGACATATTGTTTCTTTGTCTTTCCGGGATTTTTTTTTTTTTATTCAGATTAAAAAGCTAAAATTATATATTTTAAGCTGTTAAACTTATCACTAATCTTTATTCGTCACTAATTACAATATGTTTTTTTTTAGTCAACTTTTCTTCATACAAAAAAAAAAAGAAAAGAAAATAAACGAACATTGCTTGGCTTAAAACGATCACATGACAACATAGTATCATCCTTAAAGAAAAATAGATAATTCTAGCAATCTACAATAGGTCTTACCAAAAAAAAAAAAAGAAGAAAGAAAGAAGAGAAAAAAAAGGTCTGTCAAGACAAGAAATGTTGACAAAATTTACAAATCCATGCAAAAAAAAACAAACAAACAACTGACACACAAAAAAAGAATAATGAACCTTATTTTTTTTTCTTCTTCCTTTATGATGAATATTTTGATTTTTGTTGATTACCAGCTTCAAAATTAGCATGTGATGAATTAGCTTTATAAAATTTAACCATAAAATTTATATCAGGAAAAAGACTACAAACTTTTTCATCAATCGCAGCTTGTGCTTGTTCACTTGGATTTGAATTCCATATTTGTACAAGATCTTGTAATCCCTCACGTGATTGTACACTTACACCAACAACATCATCACCTTCAATTACCGAAAATTGTTCACCTATAGCAGCTAAACATAATTCTTGCCAGACAGTATTTGTTTTATCTTTTGGACAACGATATGTATAAATACCACCACTGAATAAAAAAACAAAAAAAAGATGTATTCATTTTTGTTGAATTCGACAATCGTAATTTTACGTTTTTTTATTCAAAGATAATTATAGGTTAATTTTTATTTTATATAGAAAAATTAATATTATATATTTAATTG